CCTTCTACATACACCCAAGTGAGAGCCCTTCATCTGTTGTGGTTTCCCCACCTCTCTCTGCCAACAATTTCCAGTCATGGTCCCGTTCCTTTCGAATGGCCCTTATTTCTAAAAACAAGATGGGCTTTCTCAATGGCACCATCTCCATCCCAGAAACCACCGATCCCTTATACCCCTCTTGGGAAAGATATAACACCCTGTTAATGTCATGGATTCTCAATTCCCTTTCTCCTTCAATCTCTCAAAGTGTCGTGTTTTCTGAGCGAGCCACTGATGTTTGGACTGACCTTCGCGAACGTTTTTCTCAAGGAGATTTGCTTCGTGTCGCTGAGTTACAGGAAGAAATCTATTCTCTCAAACAAGGTGTGCTCTCCGTCACCGACTACTACACCTCTTTGAAATCACTCTGGGAAAAGTTGGACAACTACTGAACTCTAACCCCTTTTTCTTGCTCTGCTCGCACCTACCATTCACAGGATTTCATCATCTGTTTTCTGAAAGGACTTGACGATCGTTTCGCCATGGTTCGCTCACAAATCTTATTACTTGATCCTCTTCCCTCTGCTAATCGTGTTTTCTCCATGATAATCCAACATGAGCGCCAACATCATAACCCATCTTCTTCTTCCATGGAAACCAATCCTTTCATCAATGCTGTCTCTGGTAAAGGCCGAGGCCATCCACAGCAAGGGGGGACAAAACAAACTCGCAAATGTGAATTCTGTGGCCGCCTCGGATACACTATTGATTCGTGCTTCCAGAAAAACAACATCACTTCGACAAAGTGCATCCATTGCGATCGTGTTGGACATAGCAGCGATGTATGTTATACCAAGTTTGGCTATCCTCCTGGACATCCCAAATATCCAGGAAAGCCACGCCCTTTCAATAACAAGAACACCTTTGGTGGCGGCGGCACAACCGCCGGAGGCACCATGAACAACGTTATTGCCTCTTTCTCTTCAGATGTTACGTCGGCCCTAGAAGGAGAAAGGAAAGACACTTCAACTCTGGGCCAAGGTCTTCACATTACTATGGCCCAATTCCAACAACTAATGAGTCTTTTGAACAAAGCCTCCGGATCTGGTGGGGGAAACTCAGAAATCCCTTCAAGGGCCAATCGAAAAGGAAAGGAGCCCATCTACCAATAATGCTACTGCCACCACCATCAATAACTCCAACTTTTGGCACTTTAGATTAGGACATTTATCTAGTAGCCGTCTTAATGTCTTGAATCAACAATTTCCTTTTATTTCAAAGGGTTCTAATGAAATTTGTGACATTTGCCATTTAGCTAAACAAAAGAAGTTGCCTTATTCTCCTAGCTCTAGTAGAGGTTCTAAGATTTTTGATTTGATTCACATGGATATTTGAGGCCCCTTTTCCAAAATATCTATTCACGGGCACAAATATTTTCTTACTATACTTGATGATTTTAGCAGATACACATGGGTTGTTTTATTAAAATAAAAAAGTGAAGTAAAAACACATATACAAAATTTTATTAACTTGGTTGAAAATCAATTTGAAACCAAAATTAAATGTATCCAATCCGACAATGGACCGGAATTTTTTCTAAAAGATCTTTTTAATTCTAAAGGAATAATACATCAAACTAGTTGTGTTTACACACCTCAACAAAATGGGAGAGTGGAACGCAAACATCAACACATTCTCAATGTTGCTAGGGCCATCATGTTTCAATCCAAAATTTCATCAAATTTTTGGTCCTATGCTATCAAACATGTTGTTTTTCTCATTAACCACGTTCCCTCACTCATCATTTCCTATAAAACGCCTTTTGAACTTCTAAATAAAGTTACACCCAATTTTTCCATGATCAAAATCTTTGGTTGTTTATGTTATGCATCTACTCACAATTAAATTCATAAATTTGAACCTCGATCTAGAAAAGGTGTTTTTTTTGGGTTTTCAAAACGGTAAAAAAGGATAAGTTATTCTGGACATTAATACAAGAGAAACATTCATTTCTAAAAATGTTGTCTTCCATGAAATAGTTTTTCCTTTCCACACACCTCCATCACTCTCTACACCCATAACCCAACATACCCTATCCATAGAACCAAATCCAGATTCTCCAAACACACTACCCAGAAAGGCCTCAGAACCTCAAAGCCCCAACCCCAACATGCCTTCACCTTCACTAGAATGAAGCTTCTCCCTTTTCCCTGAAACTGCGATCTCCAACCCTAACTCCATTTTACCAGAAATTCCAGCCCGCCACACACTGTCCCCAATTGTCGCGCCACCACTGCGCCGTTCAGAACGCGACACCCATCCTCCTCCATACCTTTCCGAATATCAGTACAAGCTTCCTTCCCTTAAGTCCGCACAATCATCCACAAGGTGCTCACATCCGATTCAAAGCTTTCTTTCATACACTAACGTCTCTCCTTCCCATCATCGTTTTCTCATGGCCATATCTTCTGAGCGTGAGCTCGCCAGTTTCTACGAAGCAATAAAGCATCAGTGTTGGCGTGACGCCATGCAATGTGAGATCAAAGCCCTCGAGTTGAATCACACTTGGGATGTGGTTGAGACTCCTCACTATGTTCGACCCATAGGTTGCAAGTGGGTATACAAAAGCAAGAGGCTGCCCGATGGAAGCATAGAGCGCTACAAAGCGCGATTGGTAGCTAAGGGGTATTCACAAATTGAGGGCATCGACTATTTCGAAACATTCTCCCCGGTCGTCAAAATGACCATTGTTCATATAGTCCTTGCCTTAGCTTCTATCAACCACTGGCACATCCAACAATTAGATGTCAGTAATGCTTTCCTCCATTGAGACCTTGTGGAGGATGTCTACATGGAGATGCCACCGGGCTTATCAGGATACCATTCTGGTCAGAGCTGCAAATTGCACAAATCCCTCTACGGGCTGAAGCAATCAAGCAAAAAATGGTACGAAAAGTTATCTAATTTGTTGTTGACATGTGATTATAAATAGGCTCATGCTGACCATAGTCTCTTCACCAAAAGACATGGTTCAAATTTCACTGCTTTGATAATATATGTGGATGATATTGTGCTAACCGGTAACTCTGTTGAAGAAATCAACCACATTAAGCATATTCTTCATAGCAATTTTCATATCAAGGATTTAGGAAAGCTAAAGTACTTCCTCGGAATTGAAGTGGCTCACTCTTCAAAGGGAATTTCGCTTTGTCAACGCAAGTACTGCTTAGACTTGCTTATAGATTCAGGAATGCTTGGATGCAAACTCTCCTCCACTCCAATGGACAGTACTCTTAGGCTTCACAATGATGCTTCTGACTATCTTGATGATCCATTGCCATGTAGGCGCCTTGTTGGCAAATTGGTGTATTTGACGAATACTCGCCCTGATCTTGCTTTTGCAACACAACAGCTAAGCCAATTCATGTCCAAGCCCACCAAAGCTCATCATGTTGCAGCTATGCGTGTTCTTCGTTACCTTAAAGGTTGCTTAGGTACAGGTCTCTTTTTCCCTAGAATCTGTCCTACTCAAGTTTCTGGCTTTAGCGACGCTGATTGGGCCACCTGTGTGAACTCAAGACATTCAATCACAGGGTATTATTTTTTTATTGGAAGTTCCCTTGTCTCATGGAAAACCAAGAAACAAACCACCATGTCCCGATCATCCTCCGAGACTGAATATAGAGCCCTCGCTTCATCTACTTACGAGTTACAATGGATCATTTACTTGCTCCGATATCTCCATATTTCCCTTTCTTAGATTTCCCTACTTTACTGTGACAATAACAGTGCCCTTCACATTGCTGCCAATCCAGTATTTCATGAAAGAATGAAGCATCTGGATATAGATTGTCACATTGTGTGTGAGAAATCCCAAGAAGGCTTGATGACACTGCTTCCTGTTCCTTCTGCTAATCAGCTCGCGGACATCTTCACAAAAGCCTTACCTCTACATTCCTTCAAGCTGAATTTATCCAAGCTGCAGTTACAAAACATTTTTGCACCTCCAGCTTGTGGGGGGCTAATAGAAGAGCCTTATAATTCTGGTTTAAACACCACATAATTAGCATAACAGAATGGCAGCACAACAGATGAATCTTTTCTATTTTTTCATTTCTGTTATTCCTTTTAGTGAACATTCTAGAGCAAGCTATCAATAGATAGTACAAAATATGCCTTTATCCTCAAAAATTTTTAGGTCACACCAATTTTTTTATACAGACTATATATATAATGTAATCATTGAGAATCATTGTAGACAAAAATTTATGCAAATTATCTTTTCTTCTTTTATCTGTTAATTCCAAAGTTAGTTTACAGGTTGGGATGTGGGTCACAGTGAAGCAGCGTGGCTACTGTGAGGATTCGTTGCTGGATTTGTGTGAAGGGTATGTGAATTTGGCTTGCAAAGCTTCGTCAATGATGAGTAGGGGTTTACATTTTGCACTTGGTTTATGTTCTCTGTGTAAATTGCAAAGAAGAAGATGGTGTTGGAAGGGTTGGCGTAAATTTATCGACAAAGGGTAGCTAGTAGGGTTCAAATAAAATTAGTTGTTCATCGTTAACACAGATGATACCGGCGAAGTTACATGCATGCACAATTAAAATATCCAAATGTATATCATGTCATGTTTTATAATATAAAATGAATTATGTTGTTATCATCTTTTTCTTTTCATAACATAGGTAATATCTTAAACAATAAAAGAAGATTGATGATGAGTATGTGCAAACCGTAAAAAAGAAAAATGAAAGAAAATAGAAATTTCATAAAAAATTAGAAAAGAATACGTATTAATTAAATAATATAAGATAAAATTATTGTGATAAGTAAACGATGTCCTTTTACCATATAAGTGAACAAATGTTCTAAACGTAAAAAGTAAAAAAAAAAAAAAATTATTTTCATTTCTTTTTTCTATCCATTTTCTAAACCTATTAGAAAAATTTATTTGAGATATCACCATTATCATACTTAGGTAATTTCATCGATAAAGTGATTTAGAACAATAAAGTGTTGTCTATCGAAAACTTCCTCTGCTAAGAAAACTTGGCCTTGAACTGAGCTCTCTCAGTGGTTTGTCGGTAAACCTAATCAAGTTGTAGACTGAGGCACCTAGTATTGCTCCAACAAATGGTCCAACAATATAAATCCAAAATCCATCATAAATGTGCATCACCAAAGCAGGTCCAAGGCTTCTGGCTGGGTTCATGGATGCTCCTGACACAGGTCTGCATGCCATTATCAAACTTAGGTGAAGATGATGTTAAACATTTGTGGTAAATAGCATCTTATGAATAAAACAAAAATTTGCATTTTTCTACACATGCATGCCCACATCCGTCGTGTACGAGCGCATACACACAAAAGAATACCATAGTAATATAATTTAAGGCTAAATTACCCAGCAATGAAGACGTCTATTAACACTGTCATGCCAACAGCAATGCCTGCTAGCTCTCCAATCTATTATATTAGGAAATTGTGTTATTTCACATGTAAAACGCAAAATGAGAGGATATTTATATCTACATAACATGCCATTTTAATAAATGAAATACTTTTCAAAAGCGATTTGTGAAAATGAAATGTCATTTGAATATAGGAACTATATTTTGTAATTTATCGAATCATCATCCACTTGTTAGCATTTTTTCATTATAAAACTTATGGCCTGAACTTCATCTTTTAAACAAAATGACACTTTCATGGAAAAGATGATCAACTTAGGGTGATGATATTATTAGCTAAAGGAGAGAATATTTTTAATAATGTTATTAGAAGCACAAGGAAAAAGGCATGAAAACTAAGTAGGCAATTTGATTCCAATAAAAGAATAACATAAGAGTTAAAATGAAGAGAATTGCGACAACATAAACATAATATAATATAAAGTAAACTAATTGAGTGTACTAACCGCTCTATTATCAGTGGACACAGCAGAAACAACAAACATTAAGAGAAATGATGTGAGTAGCTCAAAAACAAGGGATTGAATTTGAGACCCAGTTGGAACTGTTCCAAAATAGGATTTCTCATTTAGATCAAAGAGAAGGTACAATGTTCCACTAGCAAGAATAGATCCTAATACTTGTGCAATAAGATATAGTGGCACCTGCAACAATTGTGGATACAATTTCAAAAAACTAATGCAAGTATGCCATAGATAGAAAAATAATATAATGATTGACTTTATATCTAATTAAAATAAAATAAAAAAGATTAACTCTATAATAAAAATAATAATAATAGAATTGAAATCGGGTGAATACATCAAATGATAAAAAACATGCCTGTTTCAAAGGAAAATGGCGATAAATGGCAAAGCTGACAGTGACTGCTGGATTGAAATGCGCACCAGAGATGTGACCGAGTGAATATACTAGGATCATCACCGTCAAACCCCATACCGCACAAATCCCAGGGAACGTTATTGTCCCTTCACTGCCCTCAATTTTATTCAAAACAACAGAGCAACACCCTGCAAATACTAAGAAATATGTCCCTATTACCTCTGCAATTACCTGTTACACACAAGGGTTTCATTTATTTTATTTTATATTCATTAGTAATAATTCATCCTGTGAATATATTAATATAAAATAAATGAAAAACTAATTATGTAATGATATATATGTACCTTTTGTATAACTTGAACTACCTCAGGAGAACCACAAAAGCCCGAATCTCTTTGTGCCTTTACTCCACCTTCTTCTATTTTAGAGGCCTCGTTTGTAGACATATTTACCTAAAATTTAATGAAATTTTTTCTTTTGCTAAGACGAGTTTCTTAGTTCAAAAGGTGATTGAAAGTTTGTGTATAACCAAATCATATTAATAGGAAACAAGTGTGGATATTGGTGGTTTAGCTATTTTCAAGAGCAACCAATGGAGGTAAAAGCACTTATACTCACTATAAAGCTTTCATAAAAAAAAATGCTACCACAAGTTCACCTTCTTTTAATATTGTACACATGCCAGTATAACTCAAAATAAATCACAAGATTACTGCAATTATGTAATACACTCAAAATAACACAATTTAATTTTCTTATTTAATAAATGTAATACAGAGAATAAAGAAAATTTACACACGTTAAATTCTATTTTATTAATTCATAATTAGGTTATTTTATTTTATTTTTCATTCAAAATTTTTATTTGTCCAAAACATATCTCAGATATCTCTTATAATATTTATTGACTAAGTAGTTTATAATTTAGTTATAATACAAGGAGGAGTGGGTAGTAATAATCAAAATTTATCTAAGATACATTATCACGTGTAGAGTCGTCCAAAAATTCAATTAGTCATGTAAGTTAGGATTAAGAAGTCTTGTGGACTAAAAGGTCTAATAAATTAGAAGTTCACAAAATTAGGGTAACTAGAGTTAGAGGCAAGGTCTTATGAGGAAAAAAAGTTATATCTTATAATATGGTTGTACAATTCATGTGTAGCCACTCTTTTTATTATATATATATATATATATTCATAAAAAATTATCAGTTAATTTTTTAAAAATAAAAAATAGTTAACAAGTCATCACGAAAGAATGAATAGTTGGTGTTACAAGATAATAATTCAAATAACCTAACAAATCAATAAAAATTAATCAAGTTAGTCTAAATAATTATTAAATCAATTCAAAAAGTATAATATTTGAGGTAATTAGGATGAATGTTGGGTTGAATTCTTTGTAATCCATAATACCCAACCTAAACTTGTCTTAATTTAAAAACTTCAATAAATACACTTCACCCAATTCATTTACTTTGTTAAAATACTATTATGTGATATCTATCTGTGTCCTTTTTTTATTCTTTACACTTGAAATAGTAATAGTTTTTTTTTATAAAGGTGGTGCAACTTCTATATCCATCACAAGGGATGCTCAAGTTAGTACAAGAGTACTTGTTTGGATACAAAACATAACTCACCTAAAAATAGTGTTATTTATATCATCAATTGTATTTAACTAACACAAGCATACTCATTTAGAAATATAATATAAGTCGCCCAAAAGTGGTGTGACTTATAGAAGCATGCTAAAGTTAGCATGTGTAGTGCTATTTAGATTGAATTTGTTGACTTTTTTTAGCTATAAACTTTGAATGATATGACTTTTTACATATAATTTTTATTTATGCAAAATTATGTTTATTTTAGATAACTTTTTGACATCTATACATATCAAATAACCAAAAGAGATTTGAAGCAAAACCTTTTTAAAATTTTTTTTTGCTTAGTTATTTAATTTATTTTGGTATTTTTTAGTGTTTTTCGGTTTTTATACTCAATTTTTATGAAAAATAAGTGTATTTCAGTTTGATTCTTTTATATGTTTGATTGCGTAATATTAGGGTGTTTTAGGTGTTAGCCTCATATTAATTAAGATGTAATTAATATATTTTTTATTATTAAAAATTAACTCATCTAAAAGTTATAAATTTTACTTTGATTCAAATTTAAACTGATCTGAAATAATAAAAAATTCATGTTATTTTTAAAGATATTATCACACTTTTTATGAGATCGGTTAGTTATTAACTTATATAAAAAGTTATAGAATGCCCTTTTTATAAACGTAAAAGTCGCACATCTTTGTTGATTTATATTTATAAATTCTAGACGAACACATTTGATTCTAATTGTAACACACTTTCTTTTTTAAATCACACCACTTTTGAGTATTTTATATTTTGTCTACAAACAAGCACAACTTAAACATACCTTGTGCTATATACATGTTTTATTTTCAACTGAACATGTCCCATGCTGAATACATAAGAAAAAAAAAAAATACATATTTAAAGTTTCTTATTTATTTTATTTTAAATATAAAAAAAATCCTTTCTTTTGGTCAAATTAAAGTTGGGCTATTAAGCAGCAAATGTGAAAAGTAATAGCCCAATATCAAATAACACACAAGCCCATAATGGTGATTAACTTAGCCCCAGAGATTGGAAAACCCGACCCCAAAACCAGCTTCCTTCAGAGTCCAAACAAACTGCAAACTCCAATAAGTAGTGGATTCCATGTCAGCAAAAGGCACTGATTAGCCCACAATGTGAAAAATCAACTCGGTGATAGCAAGCTACAGACTCTGGTAAACATTTGTAACCAGTTAAAACAATATATTTTATAAGCCCATTTAAAAGGGAGTTAGGAACCTAATCCTTTTAACTTATGAAATTAAATGGGTTTTTTTGTTTTTCAAGCAATTAACTTATTCTCTTGATTAAAAAAAACAAGGTAATGTTACTCAAATTGTTCAACCAGCAAATAAGGTATAAAATTATAAATAAATTATTTAAAAATTCCTAAAACACTAAACGGGCTGGAAGAACACTAATTTGGACCAGACTCAACTTGATTCCTTTTGTACACTTTTTCATTTATTTTTGTCAAACAACTTTTATAGCTTTTTTCTCGGTCCAGGTCTTCTATAGCCTATTTGAAACAAAGGCCGTACCCAAATCCAGGACTGTGTGTTTATTTTTAACCCATACCCATCCGACATAATCATTTTTGGTTTCAGAACAAAAGCATAATTTCAATTTTCTCATCCCCCTTAATTTTCAAGCATATTCCTACACATTATATTGGTTTTCAACAGTTTTACACTTTAAGAACACCACTGTTTTTCTAGGGCATGCCACTTGTCTTTTACGATAGATAGAAAGTATTGAGGTTGCTTTTCTTACTATTATTTTAATTCATAAGAAAATAAACATAGCAGCTCAAATTATAACATGAGCCGTTTTCAGATTACAATTTTTTTAGCCATTTCTGCCCAAAAAAATTATAACATGAACCGTTTTAGATTACAACAATTTTTAAGGCCATTTAGTCAAGAATAATTTCATTTCACGGGGCGCCTCTTCACTTCTATAGACTGGTCCAGCCAGCCAAGTCGTATATTATTATGATTATGATTATTATTTTGTTGCATACTAATTAGTTTAACAATAAAAAGGTGATATATAATTTTCAAGTTGCGGAATGGTCAAAAATTGGTGAATGGCTAAGGTTTATTATTGACATGATCCCTTTAATATATATATTTTTTATCATTTTCATTGTCCTTGTCAAACTCAACCCCCATTCTTAATGGTCCCAAGCACCACTAGTCCACACCACCCCATGCGGTTCATGTCCGTGGTTCACCCTACAAACGCCATCACCACTCCTTCTCAGCTTTGATTGGTTTTTGTTTGCTTTCATTTACTCTCTTCTGAAGCACCCGCTTCAATATTTTATGATCCCAACACTCCCTCTTCCCCCAAAAAATCACTTAAATGTGTAAAATATTCACTATCATACTCTATTCTATCCAGAAAACGATGCTACTGCAAAAATATACACATTTCATTTCACCTGAATAAATTCTATTCTAAAAAATTGTTACAGCTTGTTGGACAGATTTAATGCTGAAAAGGTTTTTGTATTTCGTATCACGGATTCAAATGCTAGCTGTACTTTCATTGGAGCCACTTCGTCTGGCCCCTCAATGTATGCTTCAAGATCACGCTACGCACACGAGTGTAGCACCATATGTTTTTCCAACTACACGCCACCATTTTCTTCCTCATGTACTTGTAGCATACACTTGTAGTTATTCCAATCAATTATCCATTTCACCATCATTTTTTTATTTTTTTTTTGGGTAGAAAGCTAGCATTTACAATAGTAGAATGAGCATGAATATGGGCATATACTAAATATCTTACTAAAAATTTTATGCTTTGACATGTATATGATTCTTTATATTTTTAAAATATTAACATGATTGTTCACGATTGGGGTACCAGCATTTCATCAGCTATGTTATTCATCCACTACAGGTATGATCTACTTACTACTATGGTCACCTCACCACTAATTATATACAATTTATTGTAAGATGCAATGTGGGATCACTTCATCAGCAAAAAGAGCGACGGTATTATCATCCTCATTCACTCGAAATGTCAAAGACAATGGATAGCTATAAAACATCAGCACAGTCCCGCTACCAGTGTTAGGACCTTATGAGTGGTTGATAATGATGTGAATTAAATTGGGGTCTCTGTTGAATTCGTTTTCTATTCAAAAGGAATAAAACAAAGCCATAGATTAGCCCCTCAATGACTCTACCAGTTGAGTTTGCTCAACTTAATTCTCGCTAGCCCCTACCTTAATTCTCCAAGCTTCCATTTCATTTTATTTTTAAATTTCTTTCTCTTAACCTTCAATGCTGTAGTAATAGTGTAATACACACCACTTAATGTTTGGCTGCCATCACTATTACACAAACCTAGCATCCACATGAACCCACATGAGAGCATACACCGCAAGGTATCGCTTTTGCCATGTGTACACTTTATGTGCAATGATTATTACACTTTACTACTAGCTATTGACCTCCTGTCTGTGTCAAAGCAATGCCAACCTAGATTTGGTGCATGCATATTCATTTTGATGCATATCCATCGACATTGTAGAGTCCATGTAGAAATGACAATGGGGGGCTAGTATTTGAGGGAAATTTCTTAAATCTTGGACCTGCACATTTATGCACTGAAACATATAATATCATTGTCACTTTCCTAATCTCTTCAGGACATACCAATTAATCGCTCGGCTCAAATGGCACCCCATGCTGCCTTGAGTGCTAAGTGAACGAGATTGATTTCCCATATTGCTACTTCCCTCTCCCCACATCCCTTTTGTGGATCCCTATGCCCTACCTGGGCCTCCAC